CAGTCCCTGTCCATCTGATAGATTTGAGGTCATCAGGGTCAGATCAGAGTCAGATCAGGTTCACTACAAAGGCACACTCTACCAGGAATGTCTCTGCTTCCTGGGCTGCCCTGAGAGGGGTTCCGCTGGAAGCAATATGCGTTGCTGCATCATGGGCTTCCCCAAGCACGTTCACCAGATTTTACAGAGTTAACGTGGCCACCCCTCATCCCCTGGGCCAGGTTCTTCTACAAGGGTCCTCTGGGCCTCCTCAGTGAGGTGGGTGTTTAGGATTCCTTGTGACATCGTTGGTATTAGTCATTCAGTGCTTTCAGCACCGCCCTCTGGCAGTCAGGAGGGATGAAATAGAACGAAAGTTACGTACGTAACTACTGTTCTATGAATCCCGGATGACCGTCAGAGCTTCTCTGTCACTCAGAATCCTTGCATTCCGCGAGAAGATTCTGTAGGAGCAGAGCTGCGGATGACGTCGGGCTATATAGCCTCTGATTGGTTATCCGTGTCACACCTGTGACTCCATTGGTATTATTACTCGAACAGCGCATGCGCGAAGGGAACATTCAGTGCTTTCAGCACCGCCCTCTGGCGGTCATCCGGGATTCATAGAACCGTAGTTACATACGTAACTTTCGATTTTGTGCATGTTGGTGCTCAGAGACTGTGTTGGGGATGACTCTCAGCTACAACTATACCAGGTATTAGACTAGTATCTTTAAAATTCACAGAGTTTAAACCATTTTTACCATCTTTAACTGGGTTGATGTCAAATGTTAGTCAGCTGTAGATGTACGGTCAGTGACTACTTTCTAAATGTTTTATTGTTTCGTCCATATGAGTTATTTTGCTAACAGGTAAACAAAGACAAATGACAAACATTTAAGCAAAGATACTGTGCAGTGTATAGCGCTTGAATTATGTGTTGTATAGGACTCAGCTACCACCACATCAACTTTTAACACATTTAAAATTCACAGCGTCATCAGTCATTTCTTGTGTGGTGCCTGAAAAGCAAACTACAACTGCAAAAAAGAAAGAAAGCATATTTTAGAAATATGGCATAATAAACACAACTGGCATCTTTTCTTTTAAACTTGGTGCGGCCAAAGTGAAACAGGAAGTGACATCAGTGGGGAACTCTTTGAAAGGGAACTCACTGGTGTTTTTTTTGCTGAATTATTTGAAATCTGATTCTTCTTCATCTCTATGATAGGGACTCAAAATAATCTAAAGACATTTTAGATTCTTCTCTTCAGTCTGTGTTGTTAGCCATTGTAGCAACGCTCTGTTCTGGCACTCCCCTTTGATATCACTTCCGGTTACTGTGCATGTAAATATCAGCAACTGTTCATCTCAGTGGTGTGAATTTTTTTGCAAGGCATTAAATAATGTCATCTTTATTAAACGGCATTCAAATTTATTTAAAAATTTGATGTCACAGGCACTTTAAAGTTTAAACTGATGATCACGTTCTGAGAGTATTTTCTAAAATTTGTTCCCTGACAAACAATTTATATATACAGACCCTTTCCAAAAAATTAGAATATCATGAAAAAGTTGTTTAACTTCCATAATGCCATTCACAAAGTTAATCTTTAATAGATGTTAGATTCAGGACCCACAATTTAAACAGTTTCAAGTATTTTTTTATTTTTACATAATTTGGGCTTCCAGCTCATGAAACCCACAAAATCAGGATTAAAAAAAATTAGAATACTGTGAAGACACTACTCAGTTTTTGCAGAAAAAAAAAAAAGAAATTAGGATCACAAAAAATCAGTCAAAAAATGGTACTTTCAAAATGTCAATCTTCAATACTTGTTGGGAATCCCTTTGCCTTTCCCTCACTGCCTTGATGCGACATGGCATTGAGTCAATCAGCCTGTGGCATTGACTGGGTGTTATGGAAGCCCAGATTTCCTTGATGCTTGATGTCAGCTCTTCTTTGTTGTTGGGTCTGTGCCCCTCATTTTCCTCTTGAGAATACCCCATAGATTCTCAATGGGGTTTAGGTTTGGCGAGTTGGCTGGCCAGTAAAGCACTGTGGC